GCGCTCCAGGGCTGCCCCCACGGCTCGGCTTGGCCCTCTTCCCCCTTAGCCTTTGGCTTTAGCCCACGTTTCTCTCTTCCCCGGCACTGCCCAGGCCTCTTGCCACCGCCTGGGGAGGGGGCGATGGGGTTGGTGGCAGTCTTCTTTGCCATGATTGCCCCCTGGCACATCCATGGAAATGGCCCCACCTGCTTCAGTGGTTGAAGCAAATACAAAGTGGTGGAAACACCGTTGGGGTTGTCCCTCCTGCTCACCTCCATGGTACATCCACAAACGTTTAATGTCCAGTTCTGTGTCTAGATTACTTTTAGGAGCACCTCACAGGTAGACTAGTGCAGCTCTCCTTTCCTCCTAGACATCCCTGGTTTTGTGGCGTTTAGTCCCAGCTATCCATGCTTGTGCAGTATGTATAATTTGATGCCAAAATACAAAGTCTATTCCAGCCATTGAAGTGCCTCCTCCTTAATATAAGATCACTACATGGTTTGGACAACCAGTGGGTTTTCATGCTAAATACTTAGAAGCTTACAATAGTTTGCAACCCCCCAAAAGAAAATGTGATACCATGTCCTATGGGCCGGTCCCTGTGCCTTTAACTAAATGAATGAAATATAGAAATGAGGTGGACATATAATTATTGGCATGTTTTCTAATTGAGAGCCTTTACTAAGTTAATGGGTGAAAAATAATTTGGTTAGGGCTCTAAATAGTTAACTAATTGTATCTTTCATTAAGAGGAAACACTTTATTGATTAAGATAATATACTGTATATCCCAAGAAAAATTATGGCCATAAATAATTGTATTAATTTTCCATAAGTGTAAGTAGTTAACTGATAAGGGAGTTTCCCTCCTAAAAAAGAATTGCAATGGAAGAGATCATATTCTATATTCTATCACTATTAAAATTTAATCTTTTTCCCCCTCCAGGCTATGGCCAAATCTCTCATAAAAGTAAGTTGAAAACCTCTTTCTAAACAATTATCAAGAACCAGTACTACAACATGAGCTAACTGAAATTGTTGTAATGTAGCATTTGATGTCACCGTAACTTAGAATGTTTGTTTCTTGAAAACGGGAATAGAGGAGAAATCTTTCTAGCCCTGGGTGTACTCAGAAATCTAACTACAGATAGGTCTCAATCCATTTACGTACTCTGAATCACCATACAATTTGAGATCAATTCAGATCCAAATGCAGTCTTTTCAGCTCTATCCTATTTTTCCAGGACTGAAGTCTACCAGGTTTACTCATAGCCAGCGTGGGCTGACTGCCAGAGTTAAAACAAAGGGATTAAGATGGGATAAACTAGCAAATCAGAATATTAAAACCCCAAATCCCTGAAGTTCCAAACAACTCTAAACATGATGTGAGATACTATTATATCAGTATTCAAAGTAAAGGGTGATTGATTCATAGATATTTTCACGTAAGTGAATGCAAATGCACCTTGTGGCATGAAAAAGCGTGGCTTGCTTTATTCTAAAATACCAGCAAGGACAAGTTTTATACAATAATAAAATGTTATGTTTTCATTGGATACTTTTTCCCCCTCTAAAACTGCTTGAAATCCAAAAGCTTTGATTTTCAAAAGTAGAGATTGATCTTTTTATATTTTGTGAGACCTCTGCTGTCCAAAAACAGTCCATAAGCATCCAAGCATTCTGCACTAATGGCTATATTTATCACTACGATTACCTCTCTGAATAACAGTTTAGAAAATGTCTCGTCCAAAGCTCATGCCAGATTAACCAGATGTAGCTGCTGGCTGAAGTCAGAATTATAGCCTTCCTTAAACGTCTCATCTCTGAAGATCTCAGCACAGAGATCTGACTTGTGAGAGATTTTAGGATCATTTATCTTTCTTGTTGTAAAGTTATTTGCCTTTTTCTGAAGAAGATTTTGCACATTTTGTTCAAGTCACAAATTAAATTAATTTTAATTTTAATTTAAAATATCCTGACCTAATGCAAGATTGTAGAGTCCTGTTGTAATTGATCATAGGAGCATTCAAGTGTTTCCAGTAGGACTATGTACATGAGTTAACATTAAGTAGCATTAGTAAGAACTTCAGGATCTGGTTCAATGAAGAAGGATCCATTCTGTATAAGAGAAAAAAGCAGCTATATGAAAGAATGATTTAATAAAATATATTAATTTAACAAACCTACAATACTGAAAAGAAAAACATGTCAAGATTTGGAGCCTGGTCATGCTTTTACTAAAATGAAAAGGAATCATACCATTGACTGCTGTGGTAGCACAGCTGGGATCAGTTAACAAGCAGTTCTCTTTAACCACAGCAGAAATTGGAGGTTGGCAGAAAGGCTTTCTCTGGCCAGATTGGGCTTTGGATCAGACTCTATAAGTATAGAAAAGGATGATGGTTTTCCATTATACGAAAATTTAGAGTGCCATATCACTTAATAATTGGGAAGAAACCTGTGTCTTCCATGTCTTCCGCATGAAATCACATTATCTCAGAAAAACTGCATATTTTAAATGTATTAAAACACCCCCAAATATATTTTTCCAGGGCATAAAACAGACTCCTTTGTTGGACTTATGGGCAAAAGATCTTTAAATTCTGGTATGTATGAACTACGGCTAAAACTAAAACTGTAACCTCTTCATTCTATTGCCTCTCTTCTCTCCCAGTGAATGGGAAAGTCTTTACATGGGACAAGCCATAAAAAGATAGGCAAGTTTGTCTGAAATCAGGTTGTTTTTTTTTTTTTAATCAAAATATTCTGAGCTGTGGACCATGTTAATGCATGTGAAAATAAGAAATGATCAGGAGAGGCTGGTTCCAAGCAATTGCCAGATAAACTTTCCTAAACAACTGTGTTTATACTCCTAATCCTGACCTGTGTCAGGTCAGGATTAGGAGTAGTTTTTTATTGTGTCTGCTGCTGACTCCAAGAACTTAGTCTTTCCTTTATAAGAGTTTCCCTTGCAGGCCAAGAAGTCAATGATGTATTTCTTCAACGTTTATAACATTTTTCAATCATTAATTTTACATCTCTAAAAATATTTTACATTCATTAAAATGTAAAATATGCAGCAGCAACCAAAAAACCCAATAAAATGTTGGGCATCATTAAGAAAGGAATTGAAAACAGAGAACATCATCATGCCATCATACAAATCCATGATGCACCCACATCTTGAGGTCCCCACATCATCAAAAAAGGATGTAGGAGAATTAGAAAAGGTACAGAGAAGGGCAACCAAAATGATCAGGAGCCTGGAGCAGTTGCCGTACCGAGAGAGACTAAAAAGGCTAGGACTCTTCAGTTTGGAAAGGAGAAGGCTGAGGGGGAATATGACAAAGGTCTATAAAATCATGAAGGTTATGGACCATGTGAATAGGGAACTATTGTTCAACAAGTCCCAAAATACTAGCACTGGGGACACACTCACAAGAGGGAGCATTTTTTTTACACAACAACGTAGTTAACTTATGGAATTTATTGCCACAGGCAGTAGAGGAGGCGGACAGCACAGCTAGGTTCTAAAAGGGACTGGATAAATTCATGGATGATAGATCTATTAACGGCTATTGGACAGAATGGGTGGAGATGTTTCTTCTGGCATCTCTAAACCAATAATATTCGATGCTCGGGAGAGTACTGAATAGGGGATAGGTTACTCTAGAGGTATGAGGTTCAATGCTCTCCCTGTATAGCATCCACTTCTGCCACTGTCCAAGACAGGATACTGGGCTAGATGGACCATTAGTCTGACCCAGTATGGCACTTTAATTTTTTTTTCTTTATCTATTCCAGTGTAAGAACATAAAACCTTAAGCATTAAACTGATATCATGACCTTCCCTTCCATTTACCCCAAGCACCTACACATAACAGAAGCCCACTCCTTGTGAATCTCTCCCAAATAACTGCAGCCTGCCATTATCCATAATCTACTAGCTATGCATTACTTGAGAAACTTATGGCTACTTGGTTAAACAACCAATTGTTATTTAACTATCCAGAAGGGGCACCTTTTATTTAATATGATCTAGTGCTTGTTTAAAACCACTGAAATAATTCTTATTCTATATCAAGTAGATCATAAATTCCAATGTTGCATTTTTTGTATTGGACAGTATAAATTGTTTTTCCCCCTACAGTTACGAATGGCTTTATTTTCAATTAAGTTGTATTCACAGGAGTAATATAGCTCTATCTTACCTTATTTTGAAAACTGCTCTGAATCATGAGCAATTTAGAATAATTTTATCTGTGAAGATAATAACCATTAAATGCACATAAACTTGTAAATATACAACTGATATTATAGCAGTAAATAGTATCTTAGTGATTGGTCTCATTCATGGGGATTAAGCTACTTAGGTACCAAAATAGATGCAGCAACTGTCAAAATTGATTGCCATAATTTCCTTTTAAAATTGTTGGAACAGTTAGAATACACTCACGTATAAAAATAAGAAAGATGAATAACAACCCCCTACAGTCTGATAGTAACATAATGGCCTAATAAGTAAACCACAGGTTTTTAGACATCCCTCATCACTGCTCTTCTATCTGATGGAGGAGGTGAGGGGTGGGAGTTTTGACAGAAGGTATAGTCCAAACCATCTGGTCTGACTGAAGATAATGAAAGTTCTAAGTGTTCAGGAGTGAGTGGTAGGATGAATATTATCTGCAATTAATACTCTCCACCAAAAAAGAAAATAAAAGCATGCAGCAACAAAAATTCCAACATTGTTTGATGGAAAAGGTGGAGAAAGGTTACTTGAAAAGATTCTCAAGTAATCTAAAAATGTACTTGTTTTCTTCTCTTGGTAGCTAATATCACTTGTCTGAAAAACTTTGATATCTAGTAATTGGGTGAGAGTTTTTATCAAAATAATGTATCTTCTAGTGGATGTTGAAACTACAGATCCTATGATAATCCAAGGAACTATAATTCTGGTGTGACAGCCAAAGTTCTGTGATTTACCAAAGAATTTCTGCCATCTAATGTTCTGGTCTTGCAGTGAGTTCATGTAGGCAGACCTCTACACCCTCTGAAATCGGGTATCTAGAAAAAACCATAAGTACGGTAAAAAATATCACAGTAATCAATAGTGATAATTTGCATATAGCCCTGAATACTTGTTCAGCTAATTTAACAGTAGTGTGTTTATTTTCTGATAAAAGTAAAAGAACTTTTCTACTACGTATTCTTCTAGGGTTTGATAATATATTCTCCAAAACTCTGTTTATTTCTAATTTGGCCTCTTGATTGGTGAAACTTGAAATTCTTTTTACTTTAAGCATATGGAACTGAATCATAATCCAAGACCTCCAAGATCTGCAGCAGTGGGTCCCACAAAATTAGTTGTGTGTTTGCATGAGAGAGTCATTTACCTGCATGCTGTACTAAGCACAGCCAGGCATGTGCCTGATTTCGTTTATACAGGAAGGTGTCTCCCATGTCCATCAGGCAAGCTTTCTGATTTGGAGGCAGAACAACACAGGGACCTTTTTTTTTTTTTTAATATAAAGGAAAGATTCTTCCTGAAGTAAAGTGATGCTAAATGCATCCATGTAGAAGGGGGCTACTTAGGCACCATCTGGTTTGTAGACAGCTCCATGTCAATTGGCTCCTTCGTTGCAGATTTTAATGAAAGATACACAAATAGACTGAAGACAGTGGGAAGTTTGAAACTAGTAGAGAGTTGATTGTACAGGGGCATGGTGAAAATGACTATATATTTTGATTACAAACCACTGTATGTGTTCAGAAGAATCTGCAATACTTTCAGAGGATACAGAGGTTTGGGGTTAATGGTTGTTTGAAAGATTCTGCTAGACTGCACAGCGGAGACCTGCCAACTTCCGTGGGGCACTGAGCACAGATAATAAAACCAATGGCAACTATGCTCGTTAGAAAAAGCAAGGGGCACCACCAGGCAAGATCAGGATCTTTTCATAGGCAGATCTGCCACCTTAATGTGGAAGGGAGGTCAGCCATTTCACTGGTTTGTGTTTCCTTGAGTTTATTACATTTACACAAGCCTTTACTACTTCTTTTCCAGGATCCTCTGAAAGGAACACAGCACAGAATTACGAACGAAGGCGTAAATAAGACATTCCTGTGTATTATTTATTAAACTTCATTTGTTTAAATGGCCAATGCAGTGTAATATAAATTATCCACTGTAAGGAATAATTATTTATTTAATAATAATTGTTGTTTTTTGAGTTGTAAATTCAATAAAATGATTATTTTTCACATTGTGGCAGCGATACATGTTGTGTAAGTGTGTTGTGGTTCCAAAATAACAGCTCCTTATGGAACAGAAATTGATGATGTTGCACAGCAAAGCACATTATTTGGTATGACCTGTAAAATTGTGTTCACCAAACAAACAAACAAAATTATTTTGTTAATTTAAAGCAATCATATCCGCTTCACTACCAATGCAGAGCAGAACTGGTGTACAGTCTAGTGCCTCAATTTGTTTCCATGGTTTAAAATGTACTGTAATTTCCATATAAAAATATATTTGTAACATTGCAGCATGTTTTCTGTTTTGTGGCTACATATATATATTTTAAAAAAAAGGTTTGAATGTGAATTCAAGGTCTTCATTTCATAGTCTGGAATTTTATGATCGTAACATTTTAAATAAAAACTACTTTTAAGATTTTGCAACATACTTTCGTGGTTAGAGTGATGGAATTTATTTCAAACAAATAAGTGTTCTGAAATAAGCCCTGAATTAAAGCCATAGCTTTGGGCTCTAAGAGCAGAAAGCAAGATACTTATAATTATCTCATTTTGCAAGACAACATATTCACCTCTTACTGTTTGGACAGGATAAGGGGAAATTAAAACTCTGGAGATTCTTTGCGTATTCTATTCTTACTGATAGGGACTTTTGGCAGCTGGAGGTAAACCTTTGTGGATCCAGTCATAGACGGTATTGAGAATCTACACATGAAATTAACATGTACATTGATTTACAAGGCACATGTAAATCAAAGAGATCATTACATATGGCCAGACTCCCATGTGTTCTGCAACTCTGGGGGAAGTAAAAGGATTTGCTATAGAATCCACCTCCTGTTGCAGGTTTGTGCTAGAAGTTTTCTATTTTTTTTTAAAATATGTGTCTGGACCATATGGTCACAATTAAAACAAAGTGTATCTAATGCAATGCTGTTTTCCTTAGTTTGAAGACAACCTGAAATTCAGCTTTTAAAGGTGTGAACTGCCACTTTCATTTATTCCCATGACATATAATGACTTTGAAACTAACAATGAGAAGTTAAGCATCAACATATTTAGCTACTTTAATTAAAACATTCACTGTTGTGATTGTGTACTATTCCCTGTCCAGCAACCAAAAATATTGAAGTTTTCCCTAGCCACTTCTTCATACCTTCAACCCTTACAAAATTCTGTTGCCTGTCAAAAATTAAAATGTGTGTGCAACATTATGGACAGAGCTCCAAGTCAGGAGGAAGGGCTGCAGCTCAGCTGAGCCAAATGCAGTTGAGGAGAGCAGGCTGCTCGCTGATTATATGGGCCACGCCTGGGGCTGGTCAGGAGCATGTGACTAGGAGGGGTGGAGCACAAGGAGATATCAGCCCAGTTCTGGAACCAGAGCAGGCAGTCTAGCCCAGACAGTGCTAGAGGAAAGAGCTCCAGGCAAAGAGCTGAAAGGTGGTGGGAACCATGAGTAGACCCAGGAGGCCCAGAGCTGCAGAATAGGAGCCTGGAGAGAGGCATCTAGCTGCAATGGAGAATGGCTGAGGTTCTGACTATTGTAGGCTATTAAAGACTGAAGGACCAGGTTGTGGCTAGAGGCTACGGGCAGGGTGCCTGTGAGGCACTTCCCACTATCAGGGGCTGAGGTTAGGGTAAAACCCCGCAAGGGTCAAGGACCCTGTGGGCTCCATAGGCCAAAGCCAGAGCCAGAAAGGACAGGGCCAGGGACCGTAGTATAAAACAGGCAGGGCTGAGGAGACCAAGCAGGCTGAGCTTACAGAGGGCCTGAGTGACTAGAAATCAGTTCACTGGACCCGCTGGTCTTATAGGAGGACTGAGTGACGTCTGCAAGGCACAGATAGGGCCAGTAAGGCCACAAGTATATTCTGTAGGGTAGGAAAAGTGCTAGCAGGGCACAAATTGGTTGTGATATTAGACTTTGAGTCCAGAGAGAGATAAACAGGACCACGCATCCGGCTCAGTCAGGTGCAACCAGGATCATTCCAGGACTCAGAAGCAGACTCTCAATTTAGCTACATTGACGCAAGGAAGAAAAAACAGAGTACACTGAGGAGCTGAACATATTCTTTCCTTTCATATAAACATGCAACTCATATTAATATTAAATTAATGGAATTTGTACATTCACACCTGAGAGCAGAATTTTGTCCTATGGGACTGATTTAAACTGACAAACAACAGGAAATTCAGATGTAAACTAGGAACTTGGTCAGTAATGGCAACAATTTAAATTTTGCCTTAAAATCCCTAATTCACTTATGCCCATCATCTTTTATGAGGTAGGTTAGAGCTATGAGCTATATTTTACAGATGGGGAAACTGGCCCACAGCAGCTGTAGAAAATTCCAGGTATAACACTTGCACATTTGTCCCAGGGCCAGTTGTACCCGTATTTGTTCTGGTACAAAAAAGTCATGGTATTGACAAGTATATCACCCTTGCAGTCAGAGTTTAGTGAATACCTGAATGCACGGCTTCTTTAGTGCAATTGATCCAATAATGCAATCCAGTGATAACTATTCAGACACAACTTGCTACGTCCGCAGACGAATTGCTATCACTTCTCATCCCATGAACCTTATGGGGTTTTTTTTGGTTTTTACCTAAGAATTGTTCAATTAATCATAACTGAAATATTCTGCAAGAACATGTACATTTTGACAAATTTGAAGTTTTTATTTGAAAAAATTTAAAGACGACTTTTGATTTTTTGTTTTGTTTCATAATACTGGTAGCTCCACTTTGAAACATTTTTTAAATTTAGTTTAATTTCTATATTTTTCATTCTCAGATTTTCATCTTATTTTACATAATTCTCTACAAAAAATAACTATAAAGTAAAACAATAAAATAAAAATATAATTAATAGAATATTGAAAGTTAATGTCAACACTGAAAACAGCTTTCAATTTTATCAACACAACATTTCTAACAGTGCAAAAAAAATTAAAATTTCATATAATGGGAAATTTGGGAGGGAAAGTTAAAGCAAAGGATATCCTGCAAAATGCAAATCCCAGTTCCCAACTAGCTTTATCACATTCTGAGAGAGCTGGTTAAGTGTTGTTATTCCTCTTTTACATACAGCCCAAGCCCACAGCACATTCTTGGCAGGTCTGGCGCCTCTTGATTCTCCAACTGGTATACATTTCTTCAGATCAACATGTTTTCATTGTATTACCCAGAATCTGGTGTCCTGATGTTCCATTCAAATATACAAGCGCAAATATGAACCAGAAGTTTTTAATACATTCATTTTTGCACAACCAACCCCCAGTAATATCAGCATTGCCTTTTTTTCTCCTTGATTATTAATTAAATAATCTGGGTTTATACATAATCAATTTAACTCACAGAGTAAGAGAACAAGTTCTAAACTACACACTAGATTAAGATGGATTATTGTCTATGTTGTCCCTTGCTGTGCAGCTTTATTTTTATTTTTTTTTTGCTTTTAAACATGATTGGGCATTGGACAGCACCACCTATGGCATGTCAGTCAGAGCCATTGTACAGCTGCACCTGTATCACAGTGTGTCTCATGTCAATTTCCTGCCTTCTGCAGACAGACTGTAATATCTGTAAAACCAAACAGTCGTTTTGGTGGTAACAGGCTGAGATCAAACTGGCAGAAAGAGACAGTCAATAGAGCTGCAGCACAGGTGGCACTCAATAAAACACAAGCACGCTAAAGGAAACTGAAAAAAGACACGAGCAGGAGGCTGGCACTAAAGACTCTGAGTGACAACTGAAGTCCTCCCCAGTTTTTATTCTCTTTACTTTTAACTCTAGACAGCACTATACTAATGTCTGGATAAACTGATACTGGAACAAGAAACAAAATAGAGACCTCTTTGTAGCAGTTAAGTTAATCCAGGTGTACACATGGAGATGTATGCACACACCACATGCATGCTCACATACAATCCAACATTTTGGATGTTGAAGAGAAAGCCAGAGTGTGAGAGAGATCTCTGGCCCTTGAAAGGATAGTTAGGAGAACAGTAAGGAACACAAGCATTCTTCTTCTCACCTGGAACAACCATAATTACAGAAATTGGAGCACTGCAGGGACTGACCTGCCTTTGCACTCTTAAGACAAGTATCATCTATATGTGTGACACCCAAAAAGTAATGCCCAGTGCATCTTCTTCCAGGGAACTCAGAAAGGGATTATAGCTTCTGGTATTTCTCTCTGTGGGAAATTTATTTCTACAGTACCCTCACCCTCAGGCTGTGGCGAACTGCCCAAATTGAAATTACAATTATTACATTGAGAAGTTTGTATTTTTCATGTTACAGCAAACAAAGGAGAAAAATGTCATGGGCATGTGTATAGGTTGAGGTATTTGTTCATGCTTCACGTGCCCTCCAGAACCACTGGGGTTTGGAGTATATGATTTCAACCATTTTGAAGTAATGATTAGAGTGATTAATTGAATTATGTTTTATTTAGTAGAAACTTTTCATGGCTCCATCTGAGTTATATAAATGCAGACCCCGTTCAGGTCCTTTCAAAGATATTTACTTATACACTTGATATAGCACACAGACATTTTGCAGATCCCTGTACAAACCCTCTTTAATGACAAAATCTTGGTAGGCTTCAGTGATTTCCTCAGCAGCAATATTGGGCATAGTGTTAATTTAATGAACCCTGAAATCAATAAGAAAATTATTGACAATAGCTGCTCTTTCATAAGGTTGTTTTGTTCTGTCACATCTGCAAATATTTTGAATGCACTGCCAGAATAAAGCAAGCCAGTTGACTATAAATGGGATTAAGTGCCCCTTTCAGCATCTAAAAATTAATCATTCTCATGCCCATTTATATAAAACAAGTACTGCTGGAATGTAGTATCTCAGGGTAGTATCTTTTCAGTGGTGGCAGCAGCAGTGCTGATGTCCTTGAACCAGTCTACACTCTTCTAGCGGTGTTATGATCTCTTTAAACAATTCCCTGAATGGTATTTGATAAAGAACAGAGGGGTGTGCCAAAAGCTTGCAATTGACCCTATAGAATTCATCATAACATGGAATAATATATATATGAACAATGTGTATTTGAAGCTGTGCTGTTGTATCTCCTAGGATCCAAGCTACATATAATGCACATAAGATGCTAATGTTGATATAGAAATACAGCCAATAAAACCATGTTAAGGGTCCCCTCTTTTCATCTATGTGCAGCTCCAATTAATGGTGATATCAGTTACTGCACATCAAAATATTAAAGTGTAAATCTATCAATAAAAGATCAGGGGCCTGGTCCTATTCTATCCATATCAAGGGTAAAATGGCCATTAACTTCTGCTGAAGTAGAGAAGAGATTGAATTGTGACATTTTATGGATTGCTAATCAGTGATGGTCTTGGATAAACTTCTAATGATCAGTTGATTTGGCTA